TTTGAAAAATATATATCTATAATGTTTGACACATTTATAACATTACCTTTTTTTGAAGCATATCATTCATGAAAGTTTCAAATTGTTTATAACACCACGTAGAGTTATCACATAGCCAAACATTTTTCAGAATAAACGTTAATAAGTTATCATGATCGTCTAATTTCGCAATGAAAAACCCATAAAGAAAATATGTTTGATGCTTTTTAAACATAACATTTCGGTATTCTGTTTCAGTACTTCCTACTGCAATTCTCACCAGAGTAGTTAACACTACTTTCGGATTCAACATAACAAAGATCAAAATGATACGAAATTCCTGAAGTTCGGATATATTTGTATTGCTTTCTATATACGTTTTGAAGTATTCACTATTGAACAAGAATGTTAATCGATTGTCATGAAAGTGCTGAATTGTGTATAGTAGTACGATACGATACATATCCGACAGCTGTTGCTCTGTCAATATCTTCAATACTAATGTGTAGATTTGGTAATTCTCTTCATAATTGTTCATATGTTCAACTTTATAATGAAAATATTCAAGTACAGTACTACTATCTTGCACATTTAATAATTCTGTTTTTCTGGTTATAAACTGCAATACAGACAGATCCCATTTTTTGTAATGTTTCATCAATTCTTTCATATCATCCAATTTGCCATTTTCAATGCTGTGACAGAGTTCTTCAAGACTTAAAACAGACTCTTCAGGTTTTTTTGGACCTACAAGTTGTTCTAGACAGTGAAGCAGATGATCATTCGTCGACAACAATTCATTCTGCTTCATAAACTCTATAAAGCAGTGACACTCGATGATAATAGCTCGCTGTAGCGAAATCATTATGTTCTCATTATCATCGACCTCTGCCCAATCCATAAACTCCAAACAATCAACCTGCTTGATTTGATTTAGAAGCAGACTAATCAATTCTTGATCCAGTGTTGCTATAATAGATTTTACCTTGTCGATAGAAAGCTTACAAAAACAATCTGTACGGCCGTCATTATTACCATATGTGATCTCGAACAATTTCAATCGATCATTTTTGATCGGGAAATTTTTAGTCTTATAGCGCATGCACATTCTGATATAACGAAGCATGTCTTTTAGAAGAATACCATGTTGCAGATATTTTTCCTGGTTAGATGATTTGAGGGAGACAAATTTGGAGCTGACAACATCTAATAATGCTTGAAAGTGCGCTACTAATTGAGAGACGATCTCTGTCACATTACGTTTTGACAGCATGCCAAAGTGCAGCCACAGGCATCTGTAATACAATTTTGATATCAGAATGAAAACAAAGCGTTTGGCTCGTAGAATTTCCAGATCGTTTATACATCTGATAGTTATATCCAGAATATCCACGCATAGATCCAATGGTAAATGCATGAGCGATTCAATCAGTAAGTCCTCACACTTTATGCGCCAAATTACCTACATACATGTATATAGTATTGATTTAATCACTAATTTAATCACATAAATATAACATATTAAATATAATGATACAAGTATATAACCTAATGATTAATAATAATTATAAAAATAAAGTATAAAATATACATATATATGCAATAATATATATATCTTTATTTTTATAATAAATTAAATATGATTATTTATCACAAAAATTATACATTTTTCTCTTTTGACTAAAGAAATTATCTAAATAAGCAATTTCTTTTACTACAATATACATAAAATTATTTAATGTATAATTTATAATTTTTAAATATACACATATATGTACACAGTATATCTCATTTTAATTACTGGGCCTTATATATATAAATCTTATAAAATATGGAAGATACGGAAAAACGTTTCAAACAAAAATTGTATGATTTGAGGGGTAAATAACAGTAAAATTAATTTTCGAAAAAATCAATTTTCCAAGATTATATGAAGGTCTTAATTAAAAAAAAATAGAATCGTATAAATTTTTTAAACATAATTTTGCATATAAAAATATTAAGGCAAAACGATAGAAAAATTAATAATTTATGAAATATTTTGACATAAAAGATAAAATATCTCATTTTTTGATAATCGTTATTAATTTTTTGATAATAGTATCTTAATACTTTTATATAATGAGATATAATGAGATAAATCAATTGGTGGTGTAAAGAAACATATAATTGCTTTAAAATAAATATGTAGTATTGCAAAATACAACATTTTTTACATAAGCAATTATTGTGTTTTCATTATCAACTGAATCATTATTCGGTACATAAAAATATTATAAGGTACGATTATAAAAAAAATATTATAAGGTACGATTATAAAAAAAATAATAAATAATGCGATATTTTGTTTTCTATTAATATGGCTAAAATGCAGTACAATTAATAATTTGAAAATTATTGATTTTAAATATTGTTACATTACTGTAACTTTTATACGCAGAATAATTAGAGATATTGTATTATGCAAAAAATATCATAATTTTAAAAATGGCGACATGAAAAATCAGTTTTGTCAAAAATTGATTTTACCATTTTTCTCTTATGGACTATATAACTTCTGGTACATTTTTCAGTATCTTTCATATTTTGCGATATTTGTCTATGGCAATTAAAATTTTTTGCGTGTATATACATGTCAAACCAGAACAAGTCATTATAATATCAAAATAATGTCAAAATGATTTCAAAATGATATTTTGGAATCATTTTAACGTTATTGTGACTTGTACTGCTTAGGTAGTATATTAGTGTATTCAAAACAATAATTATATACATAAATTATATACAAAAAAATCTAAACAAATTGAAAAAAAAAATCAAAATGTAGTATATTCACTATATCTGTGAAATAATAAAATTAGAAAGTTAATATTCTCATTATTAATATAATTACCTGTACAAAGAGATATGGTGATAAAGTAGGCCAAGAATGAACTATATGGCCAAGCATCAAATCCTCTGTAAGAAGAGACTGTGACTGAAAATTAGTGTTCAACAAAAAATAGTTGTAACAGCTAATAACACCTGGTGAGATGTTGATACATGGTTTAGAACTGTCATTCTCATAGAACATTCTGATATCATATATATTGAATTGTTTAATAATATTTGTAAGGGCTTCTAACAATTCATTGACGAAACATGAAGTCTCATCTGTGGCCTGAGATAAAATAAACTTCAGCTGACCATATTCTTGCTCTTTTTTGAACAAGAATTTTTGTATTTGTTTAGGTAACTCTAATATTAGATCCATCTTAAAGAAAAATCTAAAAAGTATTTGTATTATCCTGTATTATCTTGTATTATCTTACTTATGTATACATATGTTTATCTAAATATAATAATATGAATTTAATCTTAAAAAATGTATAATAATAATATAATAATAAATAATAATATAATATATAATAATAATATGACACAAATATAGTCCATATTGTGTCAATGAAGAATATTTTAATCTTATTCTGAAATTATTTATCACAAAAAGATTAAAAAGGAAAAATTTATCAGATTTAAATTATAAAAGTATAATCATTAATTATAAAATGAAAAGAATGCATATATGGATAAATTATTTTGTTACTTAAAAGATTCAGAAGTTTAGAGATTTATAACATCAACATAATAAAAATAAAATAAAATCTAGATAATTGCTACAAAATAAAAGTAAATTTTCTTTTTTCAACAGAATGTTTAAATATTGATAACTGAATAATGTAATAATGTTTAGATAATGTAACAATTATATATAATACTATTTTATAATAAAAAATTGGGTAATTATACTAACACAACTAAGCTACATCTCCTCAAAAGTTATAATAATACAAAATTCACATGCAAATTTTGACTTACCGAGACTTTTTATTTAACGAATTTTTCTCATTTGAAATTTGTCTCTTTTATCATTATAAACAATAATTATCGAATCGTTAATGCTTGATAAAAATATTTGTAAAATGCAGATTTTGTCAATATATCGTTAATTAATTAATTAATATATCGTTTAATTTTAATTGTTGTTTAACCGAAAAGTTGATATAAATCTACTAAATTAACTAAATGAATCTTTGACTATATAAACTTTGACTATACAAACATAGACCACCAGTAGGCAACAGTCACTTCATACTAGATATCAAACAGTGACGACAACATCAGGTCGACTCGAGTCCTAGATTTATAAGCCTGTGCACATTGGGTGCATTCAGTACTACACCGCTCACTAAGCGCTCAGTAAGCTCTTGCATCTGATTGGCATATTTCGTTAGAATTAAAAATATAGACCAAACAGATATAAGAAATTTGTTCTCGTCGCATGTGCCAGCATACTCCAATGTGCTCAGATCTACATACTTACTCAACGAACGCGTAGAGTGAGTAAATGCTATGGTAGGAGCATTTTAGGGTGTCATCCCATGAACGGAAATTCACAGCGGAACGGAACAGCACGACCAATCACAACTCTGCAGTCATTACTCTTCTTTCTTTTCTGCGATTGTGATTGGTCTCCGTTATTCCGTTCCACCGTAAATTTCCGCTCATAGAATGGCATCTCAGGGTGCCTACCATAGACTTTTATTATAACATTAAAGTTTTCCTGTTTTCAGATAGTATGCATTACTTGTGGCATATATGCATTGTAAGACCGCTCATGCGTAGAACACCATATGTTTATAACTTTTTATATACTCAAAGAGGTGATATATATATACATACAGAATGAACGAAATTAGGCTTATTTTTGCATGAAATGAAAGAATCTGAAATAAAGTGGTGCGCGTGGTTCGTGAAAATTAAAAGTTAGATCGCCATGACATCTCCTTATATACTTGAGAATCAGTCACAAAGAGGCTGGTCACTGAATTATATATACACTGAAGTGGGCATCTCCGCTGTGAAGCATAGAAAATCCATCAGCGCCATTTTAATTTGATCAACATAAGAGCGAATCAGAAGCTTTCAAGTACTATGTGCACTTACGCTTAGACTCGTATTCAGAAAGCGCGCTTTTATCTCTAAAATTCTATAGTATGCGTAACCTAACTTATATGTTATACATGTAGTAACGTAAATTATAATATATTAGCGAGCTAACATCGCTGTAAGCGCGTTCTGAATACGGACTTCATAGCCATTCTACAATAAGCCATTAATCATAAATCAGTTAGAAGTTGGAAATTGGACGACTGTGATTGTTAATTTCTAGATTCTAACTTCTGATTTATAACTAATGGCTTATTGTAGAATGCGTATTAGTATTTTTTAGTGAGACGTATATGTCAGCAGGATCGTCGTGGCTGAAATTAGATTTGAAAGATTACTTTGGTCAGAGTACAACTCAATGACGTACAACTTATTACCATGTCTCCAAGAGACGACAAATAGTCGTATGCCATACGTCAAACTTGTGCATTACTTGCGTCTACAATTTAAGTCTCTAAATAAGTATTATGATAATTCTTGCTCAGATTCATTAACGAACTTTTAGTATCAATAAAGCATTTAAGCATTTTAAACAGAAAAGATATTTTTCCACAAAAATCTACACGATGCAAAACAAATCAATTTGATTATTTGATCAATAATATTTGTTATTGTATTGCCATCATTTGTCTTTATATTATTGGTGTGTAATATTTATTTTTTATTTTTTTTATTATAATTTTATTATGTGCATTATGGAAAAATCGAACGACTTATTAATCTAATGCCAGGACCACTATGTTATCCGATTGTTAGAAATGTACCAATTATTTGGTACACAAGATAAGTTAAAATGTTTATATATATTTAAATAAAATTTTTTTTTAATTAAAATGTTTTACATATTTGTGATTCAATGTTTGATGGTGTAGGTATCATTCAATTAATAAATTATTTGTCCGTTTTAATCTTTGAAAACATTTTTTATTTATTTATTTATTTTAATCCTTGCCTCGTGGCTTAAGATGGCTTCCAATTTATGTTCCTTATAATTCATATAAACATAAGATATACATTATATACTCGTTATTTATTATTTTATTGTACATTATATATAATCCATTCCATTATATTGAACAAATTTTAATAACTTCACACACAAACGAATAATAAAACAAACTAACTATCTATTTTGTGAACTCACTAGTTTGGCTTATATTTTAGTCTAGCCCATTATCATAAATTAATTTATAAATATACGCTAAGCTTCTCTATCTACTTCTGTCTTTCCGCGAGTTCTGATTGGCTTCCACTTTTCGCTTTCAAGATGTGCTCCGACCTTATTTTAACTTTAAGCGAGATTTAAAGCTGTATCTATCTGGTTTTAAAGCAAAAGAGAGACAGAAACAGAGAGAGTTTTAAGTCTTGTTAAAGTCAAAGTAACGATGGTGCAATCGGGCCTAAGTTCCAAAAGCGCTAATTCATAAAAAACAGATCTTAGGTCTGGAGTCAGTGCAAGCAGTACAAGCACTAGTTCAGCCACAAAAAACAGACACTTGTACAAATAGTGCGAAAATTGGTAATTATTTGGAAGACACTCTTCACCTTCAATTTCAGTGAAATTATGCTTATTCAACGTGTTTTTGCATGAAACGAAAGAATCTAAGGGCAGTAAAATGTGCTTAATTCCATTGTGGTTAGGAAATCTGTTACATCGACTTAATGCAGTGCTATGTGCACGTATTTTAATTTATATTTATTTAGAATTATTATTTCACCTCCGATTTTAATGAAATTAGGCTCATTTGATGCATTTTTATTCAAAAACTTGCTCTGTTCTTGCTATGTACGACATATATTAAAGTTATAAACCCCTAAATGATGAAAGAAAGACGATTCGAATATTAAACAAATGTTAATATATCGCTGTAGAAGCAAGTTAATAAAAAATCTATGCGCATGTAGTCATAAAGGATTAATAAATAATGCATTACTTGTAACATTGTTATCGTTACAAGTTACCTTTTTTTAGTAACAACGTTACATTTTCTTTTGAATAACGTTCATGACGTAATTAAATTTTTGGAGTAATGGTAACGATTTCATTAGTTATCGTTGCTTTTATCGTTGCTTTATTTCTATTTATGTAGAAGTTTTAATCATACTAGAGCGTATATACACATACATATTTATCAGTTTTTAATTTCCGCAAGAATCTGCATGTAATATTTTTTATTAGCAGAACTAATACGCATTCAGTGTACTTTAGCGGCTGACCTAAAGATGTATGGTTAAGAAAAATATACAAGTTAAACTGCGATAATATACGAATTAAATTGCAAAATCTTCAATACACTATTTTATTAAGTTTTTTGATAAAATACTTTAGGCATTTTATCCTCTCAGATATCTCATTTTTACATTTAAATTAAGATTGTGCAACGACTTTAATATGCATGAGTGCGCACAAGTTCTGTCAATGAAAATATATAATATTCTATTAATATCAAGAAAAAAAGTAAAAATTAGCGATTCGTTATATTTTGAGTGACGGTAACGAGTTACATTTTAGGAAAAACAATGGTAATGATAACGAATTATTTTTATAAGGTAACGTTGCCAATATCCTGCCATAAAGCATGAAAATGTAATCGCAGTACATTACTTTCATTACGATATTTCGCAGCTGACAGATCTCCTAACTTCAATAGTCGTCAACTTTATTGCTTATATACCTCGATTCGCGAACCTAAGCATGACATTTTACCGCCAGATTCTTTCGTTTCATGCATAAATGCGACAAATGAGCATAAATTTATTAAAATTAAAGGTGAGAGGGGCATCTTCTAAATAATTATCCGAGAATTTATGAGTAATAAAATGATAAATATATATAAATAATAACAAACCTATATATAAAAACATTTTGTGTCATCATTATTTTTTTAATTAAGAATTTTTTTTAATGGAATTGCATTCATTTTCATCACACGAATCTAATACTTCCATGTAAACAATATGGGGCGCCATTTTTATCTTGTACTAAACATTTTTATTCCTTGCCTGCACGCTTACACTTGTCAGTTTTGGATTGTATTAGTTCAATTCAGTTCAGTTCTAGTATAATCCTCGTGCAAGAATAGAAAACAAACTTCTTGTCTTGCAATCCTCTTCATTGTTTCTAGATCTCTGTCTTCTTCCCCTTCTACAGTTCACTTTTTGTCGCTTCATCTCCTTGATTTTCAGTATATTGAAAATCATAATTTTGTTACTCGATTTATCCAGAAACAACTGTAATAATTAAAAATAATATTTAAATAATATTTAAAATAATATTTAAATTGGCATCCAATGTACTCTGAATAAATTAATATAATTCCTGAATAAATTAATATTTATCTTTGTACATAACATGCAAATATAATATTTGTAAACATTCCATTTTAAGAAACTTTAAGTATTTTCTTTTTAAGTATTTTCATTAATGTTAAACATTTGCTTGTTAATTAGTTTTAAAAATTATTTAATCTTGTTAATTATTTTCTACATAATAGTATTCATTTCTCGATTGCTGAACTTTATTGAGAAATGATAGAATATATTAAACATATCATATTTCTGTATATTTAAATTTTTTTATCGATTTTTATCAACGTTTATAAATTTACATAATATAAATAAAAATGCAAATAAAAATGCTGTGTATGTGTATTTATTATGTGCTGTGATTTATTATGTGCATACACACACACACACACACACACACACACGCGCGCGCGCGCGCGCGCGCTTCAATCAGCGTTAATATTATTTTAAAATTTGATGTATATGTTTTTATACGACAAATATATTTTTAAGTATTAAACATTACATTGATAAGATAAGTTGATGATCGAAACGTTTACATTTTTTATGTTCTTACCAATAAATTTATCACACACGACTAGTGT